GAAGAAGGCGAATGAGATATTATAGAGCACGAATGAAATAATATAAATAAATAAAAAAATCGAAAAAGGGCCAGAATAGCAAGAAGAGAATACGAAAACTGGCGCGGCAGTGGCAATACGTAATAGAAATTTCCATGAGCCACCCACTCTAATTCGCTAGCATCTCACATTTCCGTACCACTACTACTATTACAATTTTTTGTTATTTCATGATGAATTTTCGCCGGTATAGCAAAACACAGAATAGTCGGTAAATATGCGCCACAAAATGGAAGAAGATTTATGTACCACAAGTAATGACGTAATAAATGTGGGTGGGGTGGCTTGCATGGATGAATCGAGCATTCGAGAGCAAACTGTTCTCTCTCTGCAACAGGTGGGGTTGGTACTGTTAATTCTCAGTTGCTCAAATATTTACGCTGTGCAGCAAATGTTGAATGCGAAAATTAATTGCCGTTTTGATATACTACGGGTTTACAGTTAAAGAGTAGGATTGCGTATGCGTTTGCGAGGGGAATCAGGCTGAATGAGCGCAAGGAAAATGTGGCTGTTAACAAAGACGTAGGTAATTTGCTTCTTCATTTGTTTAACTTTGATTGCTACTCCAAGCGACAATTAACAATTCTCTTAATTTTAGTTAAAAACATTTAGTAGTGTGCATATGATGTTTAGCTTTAGTTAGAGTAATTTGAATATGAACTGTAAAATATCAACCTTTTGTGTAAAGTTATTACATATAATTCAATGGACAAACAAATATGGTGGCCGACCACCATTTTTATAACACTGTAGGGACACAAAAAACCCCGAGACACATAAACATAATTTTTAGACGTAAATTATGGATCTGTGTACCGTTTTTAAGATCAGGTAATTTTCCCCAAGATATGTATTTTCACTTTAACTTTGCAGTGCGAACTACGATATGGCGTATGAGTAACATTATTTCCTGCTTCTATTTCATCCAAAAAATTGCATATTTTAATTTGACCATTCAAAAGTAGTTTACTTATCCATCGCTTTTCATCGCTAGTAGCTTGAATTTTTGGCAAAAGAACAGGCTTTAATACAAATAAAAAAAATTTTATTGCTATTTATTTTTAAATTTCTTCCTTGTTTAAGTTTGATTTTCCCTACAGTGTAATTTATCAGTAATAAAATTGGAGTGTAAGGCACGGTGCACATTAGAGCGATGCGATATGAAAGCGGCATCGACATGCTGAGTTCGTGGGAATTTGTAGGAAGAGATGGAAACTGTGCCCACTTGCACGATACACAAGCGATATTTAGTTCTTATCACAACTTTACGACACTCACATATTGAACCATTTGTCTTATTATTTTTTAATGTTATTTATTTGTTTAAAAAAATATGGCAAAAAACCATATATGTAAATCCCAGTTTAAATCAATGTGTAACCTTCGAGAAAATTCTACAAACTTTCGTAAAAATTTTGAACCTTTTAATTCGATTTTCTAGCAATATTCTGGGTATGCCCATTGAACTCTAATACAATAAAAAGTAAGTTTAAAGTAACTGGAACTTACCGCTGATTTTTGGCAGTTTTTTTTTTTGTTGACGATGCCAGTCATTTCCTTCCATACGAAGCACTTTCGGCGATTTTTTTTATATGTAGAAAATAGCAATACGTTCTACGAAAAAAAATCACAAAAATCAGTGGTAAGTCCGAGCTACTTATAACTCGCACTTCATTATACTAAAATAGAATGAGCTGCAAAACGGCATACTTAAAATATTTCCAAAACATCGAATTTTTTTAAGGAAAGTTTGTCGATTTCTTCCCCATTTTCATGTTAAAATAATAATACAAATTTTTGTTTTGTATCTGTATGTATAAGCAGATGATCATGGGGATGAGGATTTCGGCGGTTTGAAATTATATGGCCACAACAGTTCAGTTAACTATATAATATGTTTCTAGCTTACAGTAATTTCTTTTAGATCCCTTCAGCACATTTGTACTAAGTTTAACCCATTCAACTTAACCTCACCTACCTCGGTATCTACATATGTATCCTTTCAAGCAAAACCACTAATCTTACGATGTTTAATATTGAATTTATTTTACTTTATTGTACAATTTTATTATTTATGATAACTTCTCATTTACATGCTTATTCACATACTTAGATACTTATTTAGCGGCACATATGCTTATTAACAATAACCATTAAATTCTATAATTATTATCATTTTTAACATCACTATTATTTTTATCATCAGCAATAACATTAAGTAGTATTAGTTTAACTAAAAACAAAAACAAAAAAGAAAACAAAATATTTTTTTTGTTTGTTTATTTTTCTTGTGAACGCATTTTTGTACTTAAAATCAATAAACAGTAGGAATGCACGTACAACAACAACGCTATATTTGTGTTGCAAGGGCACTCATACTTGTTTTTCTATCTAAAAAAAAGAAGTGAGCTGCGAATTTTACTAATCAAAACGCAAATATGCAACATAAATTACATACATACATAAGAAAATAGTTCTTTTTTACAGCGCTAATAAATACAAAATTAATATAAATTAACAAACACAGGCGCGTTGCAGTACGAAAAGCGATTTTTTGCAAAAAAAAAGCAAAAAATTTCTAACATTGCGCGCTATGCCGCTCTTTGAACTGTATTTAAGGAAAGGTTGTGCGTGTTTTTTTTTGTTTAAAAACTGTTTGTGTATGCATGCAGCGGTGTTGTGTGCGCACACACGCCACTGCAGTTTGTGTGTTTTTAGGAATTGAATTACATTTTTTATATATTTTTTTATTTTCATACAAAAAATTCAATTTTGATACTACCTTCTCTTTTGCTATGCAAGTTAGGGAGGAAAAATGTTTAATACCTACATATAAAAATTTTTGTTTTACTAAGTTTTCTATACAAAATTTTTTTGGCACAAATAAAAAAAATTTTATTTCATTTTTTTTGTTTAAATTTTTGTTTCTGTTTGTGTCTTTGCAAGTCAAATACAAAATACAAAAATAATTTCTTTTTATTTTTCGCTACTTTTCGCCGCCGTTTTGGCTGCGCTACGGAAGTGTTTTGTGCCTTTTGATTTATTTTTGGTTTTATATTTGAGTGTTTTTAGAATACATTTTAGGCTTTTTTGAAGTAAGTAATAATAAAAATTCGCAAAGAAAATTTTTTATTTAATTTTCATGAAGTTACGAAAATTTTTACAATTATTTTCTTAAATTTTCATGCTACTAAAAATTAAAAAAAAATTTTCCAATAAAGTTTTTATCAAGATAATTAAGAATAAGAATTTTCTAAAAATGTTAATGAAAAAAAAATATGATAAAAAATTTGAGATATAAAAAAAGTTCAAGATTTTTCTGAAAAGGTAGCTTTTCGTGAAAAATTTTGAAAATTTTTAAAAGAGTTTCGATTAATACGAAAAATAACAACCCAATTTAAAAAAAAAAAATTTACACAGCTTTAAAGGCATAATTATTAAATACATACGTACATATGTATATGAAAAAAGAAAAATTCTTGACCCAGCCTTGACACAGTTTATTGAAAATTTTCATACAAATATTTCAGCATTTTACCTTGAAAAGCTGTTGCAGCGATTTTTTTTTTAAGAATTGGGCTGTATTTTTAAGAAATCAATTTAAAAGCTATTTTCCTTTTTGAAACTAGTTTTTTACTGTGGAAAAAATTAATTTTAAAAAAGAAAGCAAATAAAATTTTCATAAAATGGCAAATGCATTGCTTTGAATTTTTTTTGCCTTTTAGATATTTTTATATAAAAATTGCTAGCAATTTTTAAATTTATATAATAAAATAGAAAAAAATTAAAAAAAGAAAGAAAGTAAATTTCCATTTTTTTTTAATTTTTTTTGCATTGAAACAATAAATAAAGCTTTCTAAGTAGGCAGAACAAAAATTAAAAAACCGCTTAAACTATGTCATATTTTACTGAATTATTTCCTAAAAAATTGATCAGCTTGTGTGCAAGGTTGATGCAAAAATTACTTAACATAATATGTGGACGATTACAAATGACAAAATTCACTAAAAATTTACGAAGACCATTGATTGATTGCAGTTCGTTGAAATGCATGTATCTATGTACATTAGAGTCGTTCTTAAAATATCAGTATCTAAATTTTGTATGGTTCACCCCTTTATTTTGTTCTACGTGCAAAACAATGACATCCAGGAAAATTAATTTATTTTGTTCTACGTGCAAAACAATGACATCCAGGAAAATTAAAAAAATTAAAAAAAAAAAATGTTAGGAGATCGCTAACCGGGTTTCTAAAACCTTTATTTGTTTTTTAAATCACAAAAAACTCGAGAAAATATTGAAATCTGATGGATTTGACATGTTATTGAAACTTGTTCACATAAATTCATAAACTCATTGAGTTATAGCTGCGCAAAGTCAAAGTTTTTTCGATTTTTTTTTACCCTGGTAGCGACCTAAATTTTTTCTTTTTTTAATTTTTAAATCTGGATAGCTTTATTTTGTACGTGGAACAAAATAAAGGGTCGCCACAGGATGTTGATACTTTACGGACCATCCTAACGTATTAAATATGTTGTAAGTATCAAAAAGGTTAATAAAGCAAATTATGTGTGTCGTATAATTGAAATAAAAAAGAAATAAATTTTGTTTGAAATTCTTTGGTTAAACACATTTTTAAATACTTTCTACAAAATTTTACCTTTTTGAAAACAAATAAGTATTGCAAAATATGAAGACATTTCTTCTTAAACTGTCATAATGAGGCACCAACAACAACAACAACTAGCTATGCTCATTTAACCGCTACGCTTGGCAATACATTGACGTTTAGGTATGTATGTATGTATGTATATCCCATGTACATAACTATGCACGAGTGTGTTCTACTATCTTATAAAAATTTTGAAAATTTCTACTAATTATTAAAAAAAAAAAAATAAAATTGAAGCAAGCGCTAATCCGTTATTTTTTCTTACTAAAAATATTTTACATAAGCCGCCTATGCTGTAAATGCTTTAAAGTTTTGATATTTCTTTGTCCATTTTTTTGTTTGTTAATTACATGCATTTTACATGTTTTGTGTTTGTCTTAGGTTTTTGTGATTTGTGTGTGGAATTGAGTTCTTTTTCTGTTTTTTTTTTTTGTTATTTATTAAATGCTAATAAAATTTGTCTACGTTATACTTAACCACTACATACCCAAGTAGTATGTATGTGTGTAGCTTTATTGTTTGCCGAAAGTTTGTATATATGCATGTATGTATGCTAATTTTCTTCCTCTAGATTTCCTGGTTGGTTGTTTAGTTCAGTGGAGATACATACGCGCATAGATAAAAGCTTACTCCGCTGACACTCGTGTGTATGTATGCATGTATGTATGTAGATTTTATGTGCGTAAAAAGTATCAGCGTATCACTTACATACTTAACTTACTTAAGTACAAAAATTCGTTCGCCGCATCGTCGCTTTCGTTAGTTTTCTTATTGAATACAATTTTTAAATTTTCTTACTCTTCACCACCAGCGTGCTTTCTCAGTTAGTTCCATGTCTTATCCGTATTTTTTGTTAGAAATTTATTTTTCCTTAGCTGCCACCGATATTGTCTTTAGTTGCATCACCTTTAGCTTTTTACTTTTGCTTTCCCTTTATTTTATCCTTTCGTTTTCTCTGCTTATTTTTCCTTTTTCCTTCGCTAAATAACTTGTTTGTTTGTCCTTTTCTTATTGCTGGTGCTATTATAACGGTACAATCATTTACCATTCCAGCGTGACATCATCCGCTTGTTGCCGAAGCAATCGCCAAAGAAACGATCCAACGAATGATATAAATGTGGACGTACTGAGGCTAAGCTGTGATCCTCATCGGTATAGCTCTGAAAGATAAAAACAAGAGTGGAATTTCAATTGAAAACACGTTTAATTAACTATCAATATATTCGCCGAAAAAAAGAAACTATTTGTTCCAAAAAGTCAGTAAACTGACATTCAATGCTTTAGAATCGGAGTAATTAAGGTGTATGCACATCCCTTACTCTGCCAATGTAAAAAATTATCACAACCTCTCTCTGTTCCCAGCGTTGGAAACCGACATATGCCTTCATAACCATGCGAAAAAGTTTGAGACCCCATTTGCCTGACAAAGCATCTACAAAATGCCAGGTAGTATCTTCTTTGTACAACTCAGTGATCTCGGGTCATTAACATAAAAAGTTCGACCGAAGCTTGAATAGGTTTACGGTAAATGGCTAAATATCAATGATTCAGAAATCTACTAAATCGGACTTTCTTAATTAAACTTTTCAGTTATCGCTGAGAAAAAGAGCCAGAAAGTATTTCGAAATAACTTATTTTTTTTTTGTTGTTACTTACAATTTGTTTGAACAGAATATCCAATCTCTCCAGATTTTTCGCCAAAACCATAGCCTGTTGATAATGTACATTGTCATCCAAGTACCATGGACCAGCATGAATTTTTTGCCACGCAGACGATTTGCGCGTGTGGTGAGCTGAGAATTGGCGTAACCCTCTTCGTTTAGCTTTGGCAGACTCATATAGCGCTCGGTGTAGATTGAATCTAAAATTAGGTAAAAATAAAATATATAATTAATGAAAAATACCTCTCAAGTTTAGTGGAAACAACATTTGCTTCTGAGATTTCATTAAAAAATTATATATTATTTTTTCACAGAAATTCTAAGACATTAACTTACCATAGTAGCCCAATCGGTGACTGGTGCCACAGATGCGGCACAACGGAAGACTTGACTGTCGTCATTGGCAAGGGCCATTGCGGCGGCATAACCGCCATAACTCCAACCCCAGATGCCAGTATGATTGGCATCGATGAAGGAGAATTTCTGTTGTAGTTGCCTGAAAGTGGTAAAAAATTCGAATATAAGTGTAATTGGCTTACGGCGGGCCTCGGCATGAACAGCAGAAATAAAAAGTATGGTTTGTGATGAAAGATAAGACACGAAAAGTCGAAAACTCGAACCTTTTTTTCAGTTCAGTTTCCACGCTGAGAAATTTGTAAAATATTAGTCTTACGAAGGTGTATTAGAATGCGATATATGTTTATAAAAATGTATTTTTAATATCCTGATTTTTTTACAACTCACCTAGTTACATCGACTTGATCGGTGATCTCTAATGTGCCTAATTTAAGATAAATAGAATGTAAGAGCTTATCGCCACGCGAACCGGAACCACGTCCATCGATCTTGGCATAAATCACAGACTGATTCGATGAGAGGTAAGTGCCCCAATCGATCATCCAACGATCGAGCACCTGTAAAGGTAACAAACATATGGAAACATAATTATAAATGAAAGTCATTAAAATAAAGTCGATAATCCCGCACATACCGAGGTAGAGTCGGGTCCACCATAGACGTCTACAAGTAGTGGATATTTTGTGTTGCCACTACGATCGAGATTTGGTGGCAATTGCAGCAACACTTTGGCAGTAAAATTACCCGCAATCGGGAAGGTATGGATTTCACGAGTGGGCACAGCTTTCGAACTTAATTTGGTGCGTAGTTCATCATTCAATTCCCAATCCAAAACTTTCTTAAGGGAAACACGGTCTGTAAAGCGGAAAACAAAGTGTTAGATAGTATATGTATACTTGTAAATGCAGTAGATCTCTATAGTCTATGCCTACGTACCATTCTCATAACTCCATTCGTACACGATGGTCATTGGTACGCCAGGTCCCTCCGAACTGATCGCCATTTGACGATCGTGGCTGAAGGAAACTTCGTAGTATGTTTGCTGCACACCTGCAATATTGTAAAAAAAAGGAATATTAAACAAGCTACTTTAGAGATTTTTTGAGAGTCTGCGCACCGCCCGATGTATGCAGCTCACATGTGAGGCACTGTGGTGTACGTCCCACCTCCGCCTTGATTGCATACACATGCGCCACCTCGGAGTTTTGCTCTGTATTCGCTATGTAGAAGATGACATCGCTAGCTGCATCCCAATGTAGAATGCTCTCCACAACGTATTTGCCTTTTGTAAGTGGTTCAACAGTGCCGCCAGCCGATTTAGTGGGAAGTACACACACGTGACGATAAGGTGTCTGATCGTCCTGCAATTGTGGTAGTACGAAGGCAATGCGAGAACCATCACGATTTTTGAAGGGTGGGAGAAAATAATTGCACCCAACCAGTCTTTGATTCGATGTTGAAAATCTAAAATAAAACCGCCGAAATTTTAGTCACTACTAAATACACTTCGTATAATTTGTGAGCTGCTTACCTCCGTTCGTCGCACACCATCGAACACTTGCAAATAAGCCAGGTTTTGTATACGATTCATCCATACAGAAAGCACGCGCTCATTATCCAACCAATCCACTGCCGAGATGATATAGTCGGTCTCAGTATTCAAGGAGCTGGGCACCGGAATCTGCGTGAGAAACTCTAAACCTTGTGCCGCGCGCGCCAAATCGGCAGTATAGAGGCTGACACGCGGATTCGAGGAGCCCGCCTTCGGGTAGGGTACCAATTTGGCGAGTGGATACTGGAAACGTAGGTCATTAGCCTCACCGTAGACGGGTAGGTTCATAGCGCGCGTGGGTGAGTCGTCGAATTTGATGAAGGCGATATGTGTACCAGTCGGATTGAACCATGTGGCTGTGTTCGTACTGAACACCTCCTCTTCATACACCCAATCAGGTATACCATTCAAGATGGCTAAATTCTCATCGCTTGTAATGGCGATCGCTTCCGCATAGGCAGTGGGTTTATAGTAGAGATTTCTTTCGAAATTCAATATGAGACCGTTGCCAACAGGCGCCCATTGGGCAAAGAAGAGTGCATGTTGGACACCATTGATCATTAACGGTTGTATCTGACCCGATGTAATGTTGTAGATCTCATATTGAGCTATAAAACTGTGACGGAAGTACTGAAGGAAAGATAAAATCAATGAAAAGTTTCACTAATATTTATTCTAACCAGTCCTAAATTTACCTTGGATAAATTCTTGGCCAACAACAGCAGTTCACCATCTGCAGACTTCTCAAACGTCGAATATAGTTGCTAATAATTAAACAAAAGTTATTTACTTGCATTCACCAACCATTAATTTTGGCTTGCTCTTCTAAATACTTACATGCTCATCATATAGCAGCACCTTTTTCTTTTTCGTATTCACATCGTACTCCACAATTGACTGCAATTTAAGAGGATTCTTTAGTAGCAAATTTTGAGCTTACGTTAGTAAATCTCTTACAAGTTTATACAAATTTCATTAATTAAATCTCTTACATTGCTTTCCTTGAAAAGTATACGCGACCCCGTTGTCCATGTGCCATTGAAACGATGCGCTGATAGTGCGCCCGAAATAACCTCATCCAAATGTAGGCCATTATCTTTTTCGGTTGGTGTAACATCATTGTCATCCCCAGCTTTGACAATGAACGTCAACGCCACAGCGAGTAGGGCGATTAGGACTAGCGCAAAGATGGTACCGAGTATGATACGGAGTTTGCGTATCTTCATGGGGGAGTAGCCCAAATTCTAAAAAGAGAGATGGGGGTA